CCAGCACTCTCGAGCTTTATGCGTTGAACAATGACCCACTTCTTAAGCGCCTTTTAAGCCAGTGTTTGTTTTGTTATCGAAAACAGTTATAATTAAAGCCAACACCGACCGGATCTTGATAGGAAACTGTTATAAACCAGCTACACCCACATTAGCATAGGCCACAGAGACCACACACAAAAGAGCCGAAAAATAAACAAAGCGAATTCCGAATACCTTGCAAGCAATTGAACTCGATTCCAAGTGGCTGCTCTAACCATTCGTCGCATATTCACCTAGTTAGAGTATAAAGCATGGCTGGTAATTAGCATAACAACAGTGGTAAAGGTGAACTTGAATCTCGGTGCTTCGCAGTGAATCACTGGCCAATATAAGCCCACTTTGGCCTGGGACACACGCCCATTTCATTTCATTTGATTTGATTTTTGCATGGGAACAGCCGACAGATCGAGATTGGCGTTTCCTCCGGCAGCACGTGACTATGGTTGTTGGTGTTGCTAATGCCGCTGCCTAATTGCCGCAAACCGAGCATGCGAGTTATGCAAATGGCATTTCAATTAAGCGTCGCAGCCGGTGAAGGTTGCCCGTTGACAGTTAACGCCGCTTTACAAATCGGACAGCCCCAAAAATTGTCATCGAGCCCGATGAACTTGGACTGGGCCTGAGCTTTTGCACCAGGCACTGCTGCATGTTTTGTAAATTGCTCTTAACTGCACGGCCAAAATGATCATTGTTGTCATTTGTTTTACCACTAGCAATAAGTAGAATTAATAGTTAGTCTTGAACAAATATTTATATGGAGCTGATTGGGGTCAATTGTTCTTTTATATTGCTTAGCAAAAACATACACAACAGTAAAAATATTTGATAAAACTCTGCATTGATTCTTAAAATTTTAAGGAGAATTTTTTATACATAAATGGACTTAGAAACGATATAAAGTGAAATTTTCTTACATCTTATTTTATTTATAATTTTTAAAATATTTAAAAAATAAAATTATAAATGGGTTTTTAATTAATTAGCATTACATTTAAATTAAATTATAAATATTTTATTTTCTCCCTGTGCATACTAAAATCTCAAGAATTTGCAATTGCAGGAGACGACGGCCTGGAAGACCCTGACATCTCATCCGAACTCGCTGGTCCAGCTGCTGCCGTCGAGGGCCATGCGAGTGGTCCAGGAGGTGGTGCGATCTCTGCGGGTAAGTCTCCGGCGGCCTTCAACCAGGGCCAACGTAAATGCCAAGCGTTTACAGCCTCTTTGGGCAGCCGAATTGTGGTTAAGTGGTGGCTAAATCAAATCTCAACTTGAACGTGGACAGCTGGCCAAACTTGGATGCAGGTGCAGATCGGGGCTGAGGTCGACTCAATAGCAAAGAAAGAGCTGACATTTGCGCACACACCCCCTAGATGGCCACTAAGTCAAGAACTTGGCAGGTGAACGGAGGCGGGAACTGGCTTTTTGGCTCTTTGGCATCTTGGCCATTGACCGAGGCGATTGCGCAACTTTGGCCAGGCACACGGCATACTTCTTTGCGCCGGTTCTATTCGAGTTCGCACTTCGATGCAAATTGGTTGCTCAACTCAGATTTTTTGCATTCGCAAGTGGCAGCCAAAATCGGAGGGCCTTGAAGTAGATTTCTTGGACTGAAAATTCAGACTCTTATCATAGCTACTATATATAGACTGACATTGTTTGCTGTAATCATTCACAGAAGGAGCGCGAGATTGTGGCCACCACCTCGTTGGGAAAAGTTAGGGGTCGCTACCAAAAATACCGATCTGGAGAGCGCGGAGGCTACTACAGTTTCAAGGGAATGCGCTATGGAGCAGCACCTACTGGAGCAAGAAGGTAAAAATCTTGGCCCATGATATGTAAATAAAAACGTAATGCTATATTTTATTACAGATTCCGAGCTGCAGAGCCGGAGAAGCCGTGGTCAGGCATTCGAGATGCTTCCCGGGAGGGTCAGAGCTGTCCGCACAAGAACATGATCCTGGACACTTTCAAGGGAGATGAAGATTGCCTGTTCATCAACGTTTTCACCACTCGCATGCCCAAGGAAGAGGACTCCTCGGGGGAGCAGCCCAAGCTGCCCGTGATGGTTTGGTTGCACGGCGGAGGCTTCTCCTTCGGCTCCGGCAACTCCTTCCTCTACGGACCCGACTACCTGGTGGCCGAAGATATTGTCCTCGTTACCCTCAACTACCGACTGGGCCCACTGGGCTTCCTTACAGCCGGACCCGATGCTCCCGGCAACCAGGGACTCAAGGATCAGGTGCTAGCACTCAAGTGGGTGCGGGACAACATAGCCGCCTTCGGAGGAGATCCCAGTCAGGTGACCGTGTTCGGCGAGTCAGCCGGAGCCTCGTCCGTCCAGCTGCTGCTGCTTTCCCCGCAGGCCAACGGTCTTTTCCAGCGGGCGATTTCCCAAAGTGGCTCGGCCCTGAATCCCTGGTCCATGGCGGCCAGTTCGAGTCAGCGAGCTGCTCGCTTGGCGGCCAATCTGGGCTATGTAGGTGCCAACAACACCGAGGACATCCTGGACTTTCTGCGTAGGGTTCCGGCCATGAAACTGGTGGAGGCAGCTCCAACCACCATAACCGCCGAGGATCAGCGCAACAACATTGGCCTGCCCTTCGTGCCCGTGGTGGAGGGATACTGGAACCAGGACTCCCAGGAGGAGCAGTTCCTCGAGCAGCCCTTCCTCACCCAGCACCCCAGCGACATGTACCACTCGCAGAACTTCAACAGTGACGTGGCCTACATGACGGGCTATAATACCCATGAGGCCATGTTGTTCATAAGAAGTAAGATAGGCTCTTAAGACATCTAGAGTAAATTCTAACTCTTTTTATTTAGGACTGCGCAAGAATCCCCAGCTGCTGAGCATCATTGAGAACGACTTTGGGCGCCTGGTGCCGCAGGATTTGAATGTGACTCAGTCCCATGACCGAGTGACCCGTGAAATAAGATCCTTTTATCTGGGCAGCAAGCATGTGGGCATTGAATCGGTGGACGAGATGATAGCAGTAAGTCTGGGCAGTAGATATTTACTGGACATTTTTATTAACCTGATTATCTTGGTAGCTCCTCACGGATCTCATGTTCCTTCAGGGCATTCGTCGCACGGCCCGGAATCATGCCAAGTACGGCAAGGCACCCGTTTACATGTACCGATTCTCCTTCGACGGAGCCTTGGGGCTCTACAAACGGATGCTGGGCATTCCCCGACCTGGAGTTTGCCACGGCGATGAGCTGGGATACCTGTTCAAGTTCGGATTCTTCAACTTGAGTCTGGACCCCAAGTCGATGGAGGTGCAGGTCAAGAATCGCATGGTGCGCATGTGGACGAATTTCGCCAAATACGGGTGGGTAACTGGGCTCAACAGTAAGCTTCCTTAAAGATATAACCATGATTCATTGCAGCTCTCCCACGCCGGACATCGAGGATCCCTATCTGACCACCAAGTGGGCGCCCATAGATCCCACCAATGTGATGAACAGCCTCAACTACATGGACATCTCGGCCAATCTGGCCATGAAAACGAATCCCGAGCCGGAGCGTCAGAGGTTTTGGGACGAGATGTATCAGCACTACAATGGTGCTGCCATGTGAAAGGACATCTAATTATCCTCACTCCACAAAAAACACTAAACACACACCACACACTCACTCACCCTCACACACTCTAATTTCGTATTGCCATTTTGTGAAAGATCGCGCGAAACCCAGAATATTTAAATGCAAAATTCATTGTACAATTTTCGTAGTTTGTAGGAATTGTTAGCTTATACTTTAGCTATACCATTAGCAACTAGCTCGTAAGTGTTCCAGCATTTATCCACACCAACACCTATTCACTCTCATAACCCAAAGTCAAGATGTCTTTCCTTACTACACGTGTATCCACAATAACCAGGTGTAAATAGTCAGAGTCTATCTTATGCATAATACCAACATCTAATTCACGATGTTTTTGTAAATTAAAGATATGTTATTATTACTTTGTTTTGTTTTTCTGTGGCTTTGTGGAGAAACTTACGCTTTAAAGGTATAATAGTTACGAATAGCACCGGCAATATGAACCCTTTTTTACATTGAAGGTGCAATCGTCACTAGTATTTTCCTTGTCAACATTTGAATATTGGCGCTCTACAAGTGTGGCCGCCTTTTCAATCTTCCATAATATTTTTAAATTGAGTATAAAACGCTCTCCATTTTGTATCTACATTAAAGGTGGTTGAATAAATAACGTATACGCGGGTTCCATTTGCGGTTGTAGTCACTGCTAACGAGATTCCAAAATGTCAGTATGTATGTATGTATGTATGTAAAGAGGTTAGTGTGGACTCAACCCTTTACTTAAAATATGGTAGATCATTTTATAAGTCTGGAATTACTTAAACTTCCAATAAAATATTTAGATTTATGAAGTGTTAAGCAGACTGGTGTGGATAGGGCAAACGTGAACCAGATACAAATCGGTGCCCTGCTGTCCAACTTAATATTTCGCATCATTTTAGCGATAAATATATAAATCTCTCGACAGGGGGTTAATTGAGAAAGTCAACCGAATCGATTTGTCGACGATTACAGAAATAGCCGTTGCGTGGATTACAAAAAAGCCAATTACACCCCAGGATCGCAAAAAGTGTCACTATGATGGACTACAAATTTGCACTTGGCGCGGGTTTGAGTGGCCCCCAGCGGATTTTCAGGGGGCAAGCCATCTGCGAGTTCATCCAATCCAAGTGTCCAAGTATCAGGGGTCGCACACACACTGGGCGACAAAGCTGATTATTCAATTACACCCAGCGGCTTTGGCGCTCTTCATCCGCGTCGCGTCGCTGCCATTCACAATTTAGTGGATCGTGCATAAATTATTCTGGGCCACGGAATGACGGAAGAGCATTGAGCGAAGAATCCTCTGTTTCTACCGCATGGAAACCCAGATCCCCAAGCGATTGCCTTCAAAAGCTGGGAAGTTCAGCTAGACAGCACACTCATAATAATTTAGTCTCTTTTTATTTTTTTTCAATCTCTTAAATTTGTAATATTTTCCACGAAGGGAAAACCCTTACCGCGTAATGTCGGAGAAAGACAAGTTTTTCCAGCCCAAGCGGCTGCAGCCCAGTCCGCTGAAGGCGTTGCGGGTGTGCTTCCTGCGGAACGGCGACCGGCACTTCAAGGGCGTCAATATGGCGGTCTCACGGGGCCACTTCAAGGACTTTCAGGCCCTGCTGCAATCGGTCACCGAAGCCTTGAGGCGCCACGTGGTCCTGCGATCGGCCATCTCGCTTATGTGTCTCATGGACGGATCGCCCTTGGTGTCGCTGGGTTCTTTCAGCGAGGGCGACATGGTGATCTGCTGCTGCAAGTACGAAGAGTTGGTTAACGTCGATTACACCGTGAACAGGGACTTTCTGCGGCAAAAGGACTCGCATAAACGGCGGCACCTTCGTCGCCTGTGCGGAAAATCTCTGAAGGAAATCATTCCCACCGATCTGCCCAAGGCCATTAGCCTGTACATCGGCCAGCTGCAGGCCCTGGTGCAGACCACAAGGACACTGATCTACTGCGGAATGGCGAGGGCCACCCGGATGCCGTGCATCGTGAAGATGGTGAACAAGCAGTACATGGACTACAACTGCGAGGATCCCTATATAGAGGCGGAGGTCCACCGACGCCTGCAGTCGCATCCGAACATCGTGGACCTGATGTACTCCGTGGAGGAGGAGCGCTACATGTACATGGTACTGGAGTTCCTGGAATTCGATGTGGGCGAGATGCTTCAGAAGAAGGGTTCCGTGTCGGAGGCTATGGCCAAATCGGTGGTGAGGGGCACGGCGGCGGGTCTGGCGCACATGCACCAGTTGCAAATCATCCATCGGGACATCAAGCCCGACAATCTGCTGATTCGCTATTCAGACAAATCGGAGACGGACATCTCAGCGGTCAAGATTGCCGACTTTGGCTTGGCCACCTACTATCGGGGCAGCAAGTTGTATGCCTGCTGTGGAACCCCGTGCTTCATGGCACCCGAATTGATCGCTGGTTCGGGCTACGATTACCAGGTGGACTGCTGGGCTCTGGGAGTTACCCTTTTCCACCTGCTCTACGGCAAGACGCCCTTTGCTAATCCCGAAACGATGGTAGTGGATATCTATGCGGCAATCATGAGTGGAGAGCCCAGCTATCCTGAAGAAAAGGAAGGTGTCCTGAGCTCAGAGGCTGAGCAGCTGATCGACTGGCTGCTGATTAGGGACCCCAGCAAAAGACTGACCATCACAGAAGTCAACCAGAATTGGTTTTTAGCCCAATAGTTTTGTTCAAATGTTACTTAAATTCACAGTACGCCTAGGGTTTGTTTAGGTTCTCAATAAACTAGAATAGTTTCCAGTTAGGCACATCACAAAAGGCCCAAGATTTATGGTTTCGGTGAACGGTTTTAATTGGCTCGATGCCGTGAAAATTAACTACGCATGACTATGCCAGTGATGCTTGTTTGGATATATCTCGGCTATTAACGTCACAATTTATTTATTATTTGTGTTTGCACAATGCAGCCGAAATGCGCGTGAGTCCGGGGGTAAACACTGGGATATTACGTATACGACACCTTGTACTCGAATTCGAGCCAAGATACAAACGGGGGCCATTGTTTGCGCTGTCTATTCAAATGTATGTGGAGAGGGGGAGACTAGTGATAAATCAGAACTTTCCGGACCAGCCTATCGATATTGCGACACTTGGCGAGGGGCACACAGAATATCAAGCATACGCCACCCCTTCCGCGCCTCAAGTACTCAAGGTCGCCTGCATTGAGAAGTGTCTCTGCCTTCTGATTTCGTAGATAAGATGAGCTTATCGCACTTATCTTCCGCTTCGCTTTCAATTTACGAATCATTCCAATTGAACTTATTCCGCGGCAAAGCCACAACTTGTATCTTTCGGTAACCGTATCTGTATCTGTATGTGTATCGGTGTATCTGTGAGAGCATCGTCGGCTTGCAGTGTGTAATTTTCTCTCTTCCTGAACGTGTGTGTGCTGTCATTTACAGCTCGACGCTTTCTGTTCACAACTTTTGTTTAGTTGGAAAAATGTTCTTTCAGTCGGCCGTCATTTAATCCATTGGTCGGACTTGCGGATCCGTAGATCTCGCTGTGACAGTCGCTTTGTGGCTGCGGCTGTGATCTCCCGGCCTCAGATCGTCTCATTCCTGAACCGACACGCTTCGAAAAAACAGAGGTCGTTAAATTAATATTTTATGCCCGAAATATATTGAGGCTCTTTAGCAAAACAATGGCCATCTAACAAATAATCGGTGGAAAGGTGTCAATTAATTGAACATTTCGAAGGTGATAAAATTACTTAAGCCAAAACGTGCTGACGCTCGAAATTCAGTTTAAAAATCCACGGTGCGTGTGCTGATTTTCCAATTCAAACCTCGAATCTTGTGAAAAGTACAGAAAGGTGTGAAAAATCAAACAGATTAAGGAAGTGTTTAGTTACTCAAAATTCTGTAATTTATTCACTTGCCTATAAAAAAGACCAAATAGTGTGGCAAATTTCTGCTATTTATACGGTTGAATAATGCTGGCTATTTATACCATAAATAAAGTAAACTGATAAAATAACTGAAAGTTTACTTTGCCAGCCGACCGCTAAGATCTGTGAGAATCAGCTGACGGCGTTGGCAAAAAAAAATCAGAAAGAAATAGATTTCTCGCACCTGGGTTGCACTTATCACAAGTTTCTGTTTGCCCACTCGACGCTCGAGTTACGGCTGCCAAATAGATTAATTGAAAGGGCAACTCCTCCGCTCGACCTCCCACAGATGCGCTTCAATTTCTCCACCCACTCGGCGGCGCCCACCTCCACGGCCTCGGCGGCAACAACAACGCAGGCAAATGGCGGGGACAAGGCCGCCCAGCCGCTAAAGAAGGCCGTCGAGGCGGATCCCGATTCGCTGGACAGTGTGATCAGCAACCCGCACTCCTATCCCATCACCATAGTGCCCAATCGCTCGACCAGCTTCTATGGCCCATCGCCAAACGGCAAGGCGTTCCCGCGATCCCAACCGAGCTGCAGGTGAGTGGGGTTCGCTATTTTCCAAGCTATTTGCGCGGCCTAAGTGATTGGGTCAATAAGTACCGAGCGTTAGTTAGAGCCGCTCTAATTGTTTGGGCCAACTCAGACCACTTTAGCGCTGAGTCGGCCTGGGCGGAATCGCGTGGCGAGGAGCTTCAGTTTCGTTCAACACCGCGAAGTTAGAACGTCTTTAGTGCGATGCAGGTGCCGCTCAGCGATGTCCAGGTCCTGCAGGACCCCGCCGATGCCGAAACCCTCGTCGGCGGCGACAAGGAGGAGACCTTTGCCCACATGAAGGAGTGGAAGCGACAGTACATGAGGGGCATCTCGCACACGCCCTCGCAGGCAGGAGTCTACTACGAGGCCCTCAAAGGATCCAGCCACTCGCTGGCCAAAGGGTGCGAAAAAGTTTATTATAAGGTCCATTCGGTTTGGAAAAGTGAGATATAGAAATTGTTCAGGGTTTCATAAACTAATCTAAAATGAAATGCGAGTCATCAAGACATAAGTTCAATCACAGCTTAAGTATTCCCCTATTTGGCAAATGTCCGTAAACTTTTTTTTTACAATTCGTTTTTTTAATCAAAATAAGTTTTTCCTATTTATATTTTTGGTTCATTCTCAAGTCTAAGTCTTTATAAATAAGACTCTTGAAATGATGCTTTTTCAAATATAATGATTATATTCTTGTAATCAATAGAAATACATTTAATTTAATTCTGCCTTCCTACTTCCCATTTGTAACCGGATTTCCTTAATTCTGAGCCTATACCAGAAATCGGAGGAAACTTGCGAAAGTAAAAATAGGAGCTTCGGGCAACAATTACCCAATTACTCAAAGTTCCGCTGGCTTTCCGCCCAGTAATTAGCTTGTCAAGGGGCCTGACATTCAACTTGAACTTGCCGACAGTCGCTCCATCACATCGCCATATCATCGCAGTGTCGCATCTTTTGGGCTTTTTGTCTAGCTGATTAGCAGAATGCCGCCTGCCGTTTGCGGTTGTAATTTATATGGCTACGCCCACGGTTCTAGTTTGTTTAGTGGCTGCAGATTGCAGTGCACATGATTTAGGGGCGCGTTGCGAATGCGATTCATTAGGCCGGGCATTCAGTCATTCAGTCATTTTGGCCCCTGCAAATCTTGACTTCATCTCGTTCTCACACTTGTCACCTGCTAAACGGCGGGCCAAAAGATTTCCCATTGGATATCGCCTCCCATTTCCCAGGCACTTTCTTCGCACTTAACGATACAGATACAGATTTTATTTTTTTTTTTTTTTTTGACTATTGCGTGGGCCGCTCAATCATAAATTTAATAAATGCCGACGCACATCAAAGACACTACACATGAATCATCTGGCACAAATTTAGCTAGCTGAGCTCTAAATTTGATTAGCAGGCATTAATGCAATCGGCACAATGCCAATTTATCGGCTTGGGCAAGTGTCAATGTGGGGTTAAGGTAATTGGCATCCGAGAAATGCCGGGTCATGTGGGTGTTTGCCGTCGGTCGCTGCATCGCAGCCCTCTTGAAAATTCATTGCTGTGACAGGCTGAGGTAATAAATCAAACAATTTGTGGGTGAGCTGCAATTAAGTGCCATAAGCTGGGAGGGATCGGATTGCCCTGATTCTGAAGTCCGATCTGATTCTGTCCGATTTGTCCGCCCGCCTGGTGACATTGGCATTCGCGGCTGGCGGCGTTAATTAGATGCACTTCTCGTGTGCCCAGGCCAAAAACAAGCGACTGCAAAAGCGCACACTTAATTTGCACAAATTAAACAACACGATGTCCAGACATCCAATTCCATCTGACACTTGCATAAATCATAGAAATCGTATTCATTGCCACTTCTTAAGGGGAAGATGAATTAAGATGTTAATGCAAATGACGATCAAGTACTTAAATTGAAAATACTTGTGATTTCTCAGTTAATATAAGAGAACTGCTCTAATTTGCTGCGTAATGTGTTTAGGAAATTTTAAGATATAATTCTAAGGCCCGTTTTCTTCTCCGCATGTTTCATTTAAAGTACGGATAACAACGGATTGAAACGGCCCTAAAACGTTTAAATTTAACATGCAGGGAAAAACGATCCTAAATGGTATAGATGTAGTTAATTTATTTAATGGTAATTTAATTTTCTATTTATTTAATTTAGTTTGTGTTATTATTATTTTAAAATAATTTCTGTTGGACAGTTTATTTCTTTCAAATATTGTGATTTGATATGACACAATCTGATATGATTGTCAACAAAAGATTGCGCACTTTTGGGCTTTCTGTAAAATTAATTTTTCTGCTTGCAGATCTCGCAATTTCCGGCCTGGCAGCATGCGACGAGTTCGCCGGCGGGCAGTCTTCAAGAACGGCGACTGCAATGTGGTGCAGAAGCACCTGCAAAGGCGCCGCGTTCGCTTCCTGCAGGACATGTACACCACCATGGTGGACTGGCAGTGGCGATGGACCCTGCTGGCCTTCGCCCTCAGCTTTATTCTGTCCTGGCTCTTCTTCGCGCTCATCTGGTGGCTAATCGTCTATACGCACGGAGATCTGGAGGAGCCTCACATGCCCGATAACCAAGGTGGGTTGGCAATTAAAATGTAAATAAAATTAATTACAAATTTCTCCATTCTTCAGAGGAATCTGGCTGGGCGCCCTGTGTGTCGGCCATCGATGGCTTCACCTCCTGCTTCCTGTTCTCCATCGAAACGCAGCACACGATTGGCTACGGAGTGCGGACCACCTCGCCCGAGTGTCCCGAGGCCATCTTCATGATGTGCTTCCAGTCCATCTACGGCGTGATGTCCTCCGCCTTCATGGCCGGCATTGTCTTTGCCAAGATGACGAGGGCCAAGCAGCGGGCTCAGACGCTGTTGTTCTCCAAGCACGCTGTCATTTGCCAGCGGGACGGTTGCCTATCGCTGATGTTCCGGGTGGGCGATATGCGCAAGTCCCACATCATTGGAGCCGGAGTGAGGGCCCAGTTGATACGAACGAAGAGCACCAAGGAGGGCGAGGTGATGACGCAGTACTTCACCGAACTGGAGATCGGCACCGATGACTCCGGCTCTGACTTGTTCTTTATCTGGCCCATGGTCATTGAGCACAAGATCGACGAGAACTCGCCGCTCTACAACCTGAATGCCACCGATATGCTGCAGGATAAATTCGAAATCGTGGTGATCCTCGAGGGCACTGTCGAGTCCACGGGCCAGAGCACCCAGGCCAGGTCCAGCTACATAAACACCGAGATCCTTTGGGGCCATCGCTTCGATCCGGTGGTGTTGTACAACAAGGATCTGCAGGCCTACGAAATCGACTA